TAGTGCTCGGGGACGACATTTCTTGGCAGTCGTACTTGGTACCAAGGTTCTGGTCCAAATGGTTCGGCGGTGGTGGAGGAAGCAACAGTAGTCACTTCAGCCTCTTCGCGTTTGTTCTTGTCTTGCAACAATTCTCTTCTTGYTCTTTCTTCAGCATACTTTGCACTGAWAACCCCAGACAGAACACCCACAAGAACTACCAACAACAGAACAACTACAACAGCAATAATAAACAACTTCTTGGTGAAGGAAACGAAATATTTTTTCTTTGTATGYTCTTCGTTATCCCCCGGTTGCATAGGAATATCGTCCTCACCACCCGCCATCGTGAAGAAACAATGCAAGTGATCTCTCGGCGTCTATTGACTTAGTAGATCAAATAACAATAGATAAAAAGATATTTACATAGAAATTCGGGATCATATCAACAATGGTCAAAGGGGTCTTGTTTTTCTTTTTCAGAATATGTTTTTAATTGGCACCTGTCATCCAATMAAAAACAATATCAATCTTAAATATTCATATAGGTGAAACTAGACGAAAAACACACTAACGCCGTTTAAAACCTGAAAAAATATTTTCGAAAAATCTGAAAATTAGCGGAAAGAATTTACACATTGTGTAAAACACAAGTTGCAGAATTTCCATTGACAGCATAATAACATGGATGCTATCTTTCTAAAGCATACTYAAAGCGGTCATACACTGCGTTGAGGGCCTCCCTTCTACACTGAGCCGATAACAGGTCACGYTTTATCTGTGTCACGTGACTTGACACCAAATCGGCTGGGAAGCGGCAGCGGAAKGTAGTAAGGAAGATGTTTGATACTGATGGACCTAAACAAATGAGGCATACGAGCGAATGTTAGATTTGGGTGGGACCACCAATCAATTTTAGAWTGCCGAGCTGAGGGGGCCATGGTCAAAATACTTTTGAAAACAAATCACTGTCAATCGGCCCAGTCTTGCTCAAATGCTCTACCTGCATGACCCGTTCTGCACACTACAA